TGAATAAAAAATGGTTCGCAAGCCTTCTGTCAGTATCTATAGGCGAATCATATTTCACAGACATCTTTGACATTTTTCACATCACTGGTTTTAGCAACGACCAAGTAAATGGAAAAGACTTCCTCTAGACGACCATTTATGCCACTCTCTGACATGATATCTGGGTGTCTGGTGTACTGCGCATATGGAAGTGGATCAAAACAAATTTAAACATTTGTGCTGATTTCAAGTTTAAGACTTTTGTTGCTACCATATTCGAGAGACGATTAACCTGCACGAAAGATGGGTTGCCATCAACTGATACTTTGATGTTTTCTTGCATCGAGACTAGTGGGTAATAACAAACTGCGTCATCTGATAGAAACAGAACACGAGGTGTCGAGTTAAACCGTAAACAGTTTGTCCAAGCAAATTGGGCTTTTCATATTTATCTTATTCCGTAGGCTTACTGAATCAGGTCGAAAGACTTGATTCTGGAACTTGATTCGATGAATTGATGCTCTAAGTTAATAACGATATGTTTCTAGCGTTTTAGCAAGATACGGGACGTCCGCAATAAAACTGGTCTCTATGTCTTGGAAGAAAGTGTATTAGAGCGACAGCTATGATAAGGCAAACTTGTTGGCAACGAACCTCTAATGATCAAACTAAGGGTTAATAGTCCCACGTGTATTAAGCATAAATCTGCCTGAGCGACGAATATTCTGATTATGAATGAAGAAAGAATTTGGGTCCGTGGTCCTAATTCACCGCACCGTCTTGCTTCTGAACAGAGGACGACGTTTACAAATGAAAAGCATTATGCATATCAGTAGTTAAGACACTTATATATTCTTTAGTGAAGAAAAAACGTTGATGAATATTCAACCATTTAAAATGCGGAAGCCATCTTGAGGCAAAATATTCAGTATCGTATGTCTCAACACCTATTATTGCTTTGTCATTGAATGCAGGAGCAACAACGATATGTAACTGTGAACCCTCCTCTGTTACCGCGGATGCCGTCGGCACGATAACTGCCTGTTCACCAACCGATTCGTAGTGCTTCGCTACAACTTGTCAACACCTAATGGGACTATTAATCGTCTGTTGCGAAAAATCACCTACGACATAAAAACCACCTCTCTGCTCCAATTTTGCTCGTCGAGTCGTGGTCTATGCTATTTTACAGTAGGCAACTAATGTGCTAAGATGTACAACAAACTCGTTTTCTAGATTTTACTGAAACCCAGGAGGAAAACTAATTTTTTACTGGATTTTTTCGTTCGACACCATGGCACTTATAATTATGTACTGTTCAGATCATCGGTGGTCAGCTTAGAATCGAATATAACTTATACATAATTATGAGTTAATTGCAACTATGCATTTTTAGGTGTGGTTCCAAAACCGAAGGGCCAAATGGAGAAAGACAGAGAAATGTTGGGGCAAGTGCACAATAATGGCTGAATACGGTCTATACGGTGCAATGGTCCGGCATTCTCTGCCCCTACCGGAAACTGTGCTGCGTTCGGCGAACAGTGAGAATCCGGAGGAGTCGTGTGCCCCATGGCTGCTTGGCATCGAGTTACGCAACAAGCGGTCGTCGACGACCGACAACGAATCCTCACAGCAGTCAGTGCACCACCAACACGTGGAAGTGACCAAAAGTCACGAAACAGCTGTCGACTCCGTCATGACTGCGACACCCATTAATCACCCGGTAGCGCTCGCTCAAACCCAACCTTACCGCATTAGCAGTGAAGCAGGCTTGGGGGAAAAAGTTGCTCTCCGTACCCCGTGTTAACTGCTATAAAGAAGGCTCAGCCACCTACAGAGAAACGGTATGAAGTGAGAAGTAAAGCGAGCTGACCAAGGAATTGAACGGCATTTGAAAAATGACCGCAAATAAACTGTTCGAACAATACCGTCAACCATCGCTGGCATGAATTTGTACGGTAAGGCATACGTTTGTTTGCCTTTACCTCTCCTTTTTGCTGACTCTCCAGTGCTTGTTGTTCCCTTCGTTTTATGATATTGCCATGTTTCTCTTGCTCTTGTGCTTATGATGGTTTACGACTGCTAATGGTAAAGTTCGTATCGATATTATATCGACTGTTTCATTAGAGGACCGGCTTTGCCGCTGTCGGCAAGACATTGGTCAAGCCAATCCTTGCCAGCCAATGGCTAGCGACAAACGGCCATATTCGACTGCTGTAGCTCGCCACTAAGTAATTAATCAATGAGTTCGCGTGGCGCGTCGCTGGCCATAAAGCGACTAATCGGCACCGCAATTAGGTGGAGGTCGTCGTCGTCATCGTCAAAATGAGTAGCGGCCGACGATGGCGAGGAGAGGCGAGGCGAAACGGGGAACACAAGAACCGTAGTCCCATCACACCGGCGTCAAACGAAAGCCCCGCGTCTGCCACAGGCCAAATTAAACGTTTATAACACCGTAAATTTGTAACGTAAGCGCCAAAGGCCGATCTAATTTTAGCGTCCAACAGACGACGGTGGTCGGCAACCGTAAAGAGGCGGTCAAGTGCACAAGACGACCGTAATTTGATCAGATCGCGTACGAGTCGCCTGCTGTCTAAGCCATAAAGCAAACTGTACGTTTGATTTAGCTTCGACCATCGTGAGGCTCTTAATGTTTACGGTCAAGTGGACAATGCTTGTACTAATGCTCTTTGCTACAAGAGCTTGTTTCCACACAACGAACACACCGATACCGTGCTTCCGCAAATTTTCGTATACAATGTATGGAGATGACATCGAATTTGGCGTTGTGCTAAACGGTGCAATCCGATCTTCTTTTCACTGTCTTGAAAAACTAACACAGCTTCAGTAGCGAGTAAATGTTAGCAAATATTTAGCATAACATGAAGTACTGAAACATCAGTTAGTATATTTTATCTACTGCATTGTATAACATAACACAATAAGAAGTACTACAATACGCTAAGTCATTCAGCTGTTTTGGTTGCTTCGTCATTGTCATGTAAGATTAACAGACAGTAATAGCAAAGTATCACAGATTTAAATAGCAGAATAAAGCATACTCGTCCGCAAGATGAAGCAACACTGTTGTACAGAGGAGAAACCGTTGCAGACGAGGTAGCTGTACCAGAGCTCAAAGAAGAAAACTCCTAGCGGGCCAAGACTCAGAGAGACGCCATCTGGAATACCATTCGGCCGGGGTGAGGGGCAAACGAATGTCCTGCCCGAGACGTCTAGTAAGAGTGGACAACAGCCAGAATTGCTTAGCAAAATGGCATGAAATGAAAGCACAAACAAATGGGTCCCATTCCGTTGCATGCAACGCGACTGAGACTACGGTAGACTGTACTGCACGACTAACGCACTACAGCAGTGATGGATTGGAACCAAAGAGAC